ATATATATATTATGTATTAATGAAAATAAACATTATTTATGTAGTGAAGAAAATGTTACGATTTCCTAAGAGATGCCTAAACAATTCAGCCTATTTCTAATATAAAACGCTCCTGAGCCAGAGCTATCGGCGGCTCGGCCGCAGCGGCCGGGCGGTAGTGGGGGAACAGGAGGCGTCGTCTCCTGAATCGCTCGAAATGTACAACTAATTCCGAGCGTTGATATATAATATCGCTTTTGTATGCGGACTTTATTATTTATGTAAATATAAGACGTCACTAAGCAAATGATAATGAGCGATAATGAGAAGGAAATTGATAACGTATGACAAAGGAAAAAGAAGTTTCGCAATTGATTCAGACGTTTCATGACGACTAGTTCTATCTACAGAATTTACAGAAAGTGAGACTAGTAAAGACGTGTCTAAGAAGAGAGAGACTAACTAGAAAGGGACAAATTTAATTGTGTGACAATTTTTTTGAAAAAGTAGAATAACATCGAAATTTAACTCATATCTTTATCATGGCTACAATCATACGTAAGATCGTAAAGTGGTATATTCTTATGAATGAAGATTGGCCGGGTAAGTTGTTTTATTAAGCAAACATTATTATTTATTTGTTATTATTATTTATTAAATTTATTATTATTTAACTTATTATTTTACTAAATTAATCTATCTTACTTACATTAAGTTTATTTCATAACAAAATATTGTAAAGTATGAGAGAGAGAGAGAGAGAGAATATAAAACAGAAATGTTAAAAATAAATTAATTAAAAATTTTAATTAAACAATTTAAATCTTGTTTGTACTAAATTAAATATATATAAATTTTTTAACAATTTTATTAGTCTTTTAGCAGTAAAAATTTTAAATATGTATATTTGTTATTTTTAAACTGCAATACAAATTCAAAAAATTACACACAAAATTAATCATGTAATTATTATATCATACATACAGGGTATCCCCATGTGTAAGAAAACACATAGTTGCTTTTAAGAAAAAATATGTAATTTGCAATATGCAGCTGTATACTTTCTTTTAAAAGCAACTATGTGTTTTTTTTTTATACCATATGATTCGTCTTATTATTTTGTGCATAGAAGTATTAAGGTAAGATTCCCGAAAACTGAATGTTTTACAAAATATTTTCTATTTTATGTCAAAATACTGTAACCTATAAGCCTCATAACTCGAAAAGTATTTAATTAAAAATAACTTCATTATAGTGTTTTGAAAAGCTCTTGACACCAGCTATTAAATTCTGAAATAAAAATAGGGTATTTCATTTAAAAAAACAAAGTTGACCTCTATACGACCTTAGCACGTACACTCTAGATTAAACCAATGTCATCATTGGATGTCCCCCTATGAAACCTACAACTTTGGTTTAAAACATTTTTATCTAAAACGTTTTTTTAAAAAGATATTTTAATGATATTTTTTAAATGGAACATGTATATAGTTATTACATAACTACAGTACTCACTATTTGTTGCATTATTGTACAAGTTACTAATGCATTCAGAGCTAAAAATGTTTAAAACTATTACTATTTGTCAGTAATTTTAATTAAGTTTATAATAATGGAGAAATAATTTTATTTATCACAATAGTTTATATTTACTTTTTATTGGTGTTAATATTTTTTACAAGATCCACGAAACAACGATCGTTTCATGCTGAGCTCACCATGGCCTGGTCTGACTCTTCTTGGGTTTTATTTGTATTTCGTACTTAATTTTGGACCAAAATTTATGGCAAAAAGACAACCTTTTAAATTAGACAGAATAATGCAATTATATAATATTTTTCAAGTTCTAATAAATGCATACATATTTTACAACGTAAGTCACATTTTTAATTCTTCAATTTCTAATCTTCTACAAAAGATATAAAGACAGAACAGATTGTGTAACATTTACAGTTTTGTATATAACATTTTGAAACTTATGTAAATTAATGAAAAACAATATACTACAAATTTTGTAAATTTTGCAAATTATATATTATGTTTAAGTTTTAAAATAGCAATGGTAATGCTTAAAAATTCAAAGTAGGTATTTCTTTATACCAAAAATTACTTCTTGCGCGAGCAATAATACAACAATGAACAAATAGTTCAACTGAATATTAATTATTAATAAAAATTATTCTGTCGAACTATTAAAATAAGATTAAAAGAGCTAGAGGAGCCAAACACTAAGTCTTAGTGCGAAATAAATATGTTGCATTATGAAAACATTGAATACAGACGTTTAGGCCTGTCATCAGGCCATCTTTAGTGTCGAAAAATAAATAAGTTTAACATGGAAGCAAATAAATCATTACAATAAGTAGTATTATAAAACGCTGTAAAGTATATAAAATAAATTGTGTTTTAAAACGAGTATGATTGAACGCAATAGATCGCTTACCTCGTGTTAAATATAGAAGGTAGAAGAGTTCAAATTATACTGCTGAATGCCATAGAACAAAGTAAACTCGTCGTAATATTAGAACACTTACAGAAAACATTTTGACCAGTTATAAACATTTGTTCCATATCGCTATCATCTAAGAATGGAAGAGGTAAATATACGTGTTGTTCGATTGAAAGTTAAAACGTTAATGTTCTTAACGAGAAGAATGTTTTCGTTACGAGAACACTAATTGTGAGACTTAGCGTTTGGCTCCTCTAGCTCTTTTAATCTTATTTTGATTTTTCAATCTGTAGAGCTTTATTAATTTTAATTAGAACTATTAAAATGTTTTTTTTTTATTAAAATTATACATTTTAGGCCTTAACTTTGGGATGGTTACGCGATTATAGTTATTTTTGCGCACCCGTCGATTACTCTTATACACCAAGGGCCATAGAGGTAATTAAAAAATTCTAATTAATTTCTAAATTGATTCTTTGACTAGAAATATTCAATATCAAATAAACAAATTATATATAAATCAAGTATTATACATTATGTATAAATTTATAATGGTAGACTGCAATACTATTGCTACAATATATTATTTGTACAAATTTATTAAAGAATAACATGTTTTGTTATTTTCAGTCTATTTTTGCCTATAAGCAATAATAGGCGATCAAAGTTCAGATTACTAGTTTTTTTACACGTAATAAAAAGGACAATAAAATAATACATATATATAATTTAAAACTTTATAAATTTAAAATATCTATAACTTTCAACTCAGTATATTAATATTCTATTTTAATAATTATTACATTATTATTTTATTTTTATATCTTATATAAAAATAAGAGACTTGTGATATACGAATAAAAATTAATAAATCAATATTTGTTACATATTTGACTATAAAATAGATGGCCAGAATGGTCTGGATATATTTCCTGGTCAAGATTCTAGATTTGCTAGACACAGTTTTTTTCGTACTCAGAAAAAAGCAAAGTCAAGTAACTTTTCTGCACGTATATCACCACGCTCTTATGGTATTGGCTTGTTGGATTTGCGCAAGGTATTTCCCTGGTGGTCATCCGACTTTTGCAGGTATGTATGTAAAATTGGTAATATTGATTTATACAGATTAATAATTTTTGAGTTAACAACGTTTACTTTGTAATTAGCTTAGCAATAAACTTAGCAATAAATATAATAGCAAGATAACAAGCTTTACTTTTTTTTACTTCCGTAAAAACTGTAATTATAACAAGCATAAGTAAAAATTAAGTATATATATTTATCAATTTTAAATATATATTCGAAACAGACAGGCACCAATAAAGTTAAAAAAAATACAAATAAAGTATAAAAAAAACCTTAATATAAATCAGTAAAAACATTTTTATTTTTATCTAATTGTTATATAATTTCATAATAATTACTCTATTATTATAATATTTTATTTCAGGACTGCTCAATACAGTCATTCATATGATAATGTACACATATTACCTGTTGACATCCATGAAGATAAACACAAACTCGTGGAAGAAACATATCACTCAGTTGCAACTGGTGCAATTTTTACTGGTTGGTTTTCATAACATACAATTATTATGGGTAGAAGATTGTGGCTTCCCGTTATGGGCGGCATTATTACAAGCACCAAACCATTTGTTTATAATAATATTATTTGGAGACTTTTATTATAAAACATACATAAAGAAAAAAACTGGAATCAAAACAATGCCGATAAAAACGATAACAAAAGAAGAACTTTTTACTGAAATTTCCAATAAGAAACCAAAAATATTATAAATTTAGACCACAATGTTCAGTCTAATGTTTGATCTTTTTCTGCCTATATTTTATATTTAGTATTTATGCAAAAGTTCCTTAGAATTAAACATTTATTTATTTTTATTAAAATAATTAAAATTTTTGTTTTTTGTTTACTAAAATAATTCGTGTTTTGTTTATCAAAATTTTTTTCGTGCTGTGAACATTAGCTTGACGATGCAGAAAAAAAATATCATTAAAAAGCTATTATTTTGTTTTTGGATTTTATCTTTTATCTTAAAGATATATATAGATATATACGAGAAGTTATGTGCAATTAAAGGCTATTCTAGTTTTTATGTCTTTTCTAATTGTTAAGTAAATAAATTTTTCCTAATACAGACTAAATTTAAAATGTGTAATGTCAAGGTTGATGCAAAATAGAAAGAGATTTATAATATTATTTATTGTAAATATTTTAAACTAATTTTCGAAAAAATTTTGAGAACTGCTACACATTTTCAAATTATAAATTATTTCAAATGCAAATTTTTTGTGATTTGGAAACTTAGATTTAACAAAAAGTTTTTTATACGTTTACTACGCAATATTTTTAACAATGGAATAATAAATTATTATTGCATAATCCAACGAACGAAGGCATAAGAGGTCATGGCTTTAAGACTCGCTAAAGCCCTCACTTCCGATTAATACACAGACTTTTAATTATCCACATCAATCATTAACGACAAATATTTGTTCTTTGTTATTTTGACAAACAATATCAAAGAAAACGTATCAAGTTTGAAATTCCATAGAGAAACAAATGTATTATCAGAACAATAATTTTTAGTTGAAAAATAAATTTCCTGAAACAATTTTTATGTTTTCTTGTTATATCGAATATGTGCGATAAATAATTACTTGAAGAAGATGGTTAACATAGCTAAATATAATTAATTAATAAAATGTTATTTCTTTAGTTTAGATATTTATATGTTGGAGAGCATACTTCTGTAATATTAGCAAATTTATATACGTTAAAATACTAAGCCACACGCGAGCACCATTTTTTCTCATTATGTAATAATTTATATTTTTTAAATTGTCAACGCGATCGTCGAATACCAACGAATATCAGTAGCAGACTGATGAGCAAACAGTTTTTATGCATTAATTTTATCCTATGATTACACAGAAACATGATGACAACCATAAAAATGTGCCAAACCATTTTAGTACTATGACTAAAAATTAAAAGTTTCGCCTTCTCTAAAGTTATTTAAACAAACTAAAAGTTTGAAAAATATCTTAATAAAAATGCACTTTTGTTTTTTTATTGAAATTGTTAATAATAAAAATATTAATGGGAAGATGGGCATCAAAATCTTCTTTGCACGAAGGCATCTTATATGCCAGCAGTGGTCCTGTTCACACTGCATGTGTCTGAGAAAAAGTTTCGTATAATTATTAATAAATTATGATACTTGAAAAGTAACATTAATTAGAAAAAATAATCATTAATAATATAGCTTTCATATATTTATAATATTGTTTTTGTATGCGGTCTTTATGATTTATGTAAATATAATGCGTTCATAAACGTAAATGATAATGAGCAAATGATGAGAAGGAAATTTATAACGCATGACAGAGGAAATAGGAGTTTTGCAGTTCATTCAGACGTTTCATAACAACTAGTTGCACAAAATTTACAAAAAGAGAGACTAGTTAAAACGTATCTAAGACTAGCTAGAACGGGACAAATTTAATTGTATGACAATTTTTTCGAAAAAGTAGAATAGCATCGAAATTTAACTCATATTTTTGTCATGGCTACAAGCATACGTGAAATCGTAAAATGGTATATTATTATTAATGAAGACTGGTCGGGTAAGTTATTTTATAAAATTAACTTATTATTTATTTCTTATTAGTTTTATTAAGACTCCTGGGTACTCGCCGAGGTCATGTTGGATCGTGACGTCTGAAGCGAGAAATGACACGTTAGAATTCTTGCGTCATTCTTACGATACGATTCATTTTACGGTTATTTTTTTAACTGTTAAGGGAAAAGCATAGTTTTCGGACAATTTTACAAGTGTGCTAAAGCGATCTATAACGTTATTTTATCAAAATATCTTTTTATTTAAAAATGGCAAGAATTCTCAGCATGTAATTCCTCGCCTCTAACGCCACGATTGCCAACATGGCCACGGCGAGCTCAGGAGTTTTAAAGTTATTATTATTTAACTTATTACTAAATTAACCTGTCTTACTTGCATTAAGTTTATCTTATAAGAAAATATTGTAAAGTATGAGAAAGAGAGAGAGAGAGAGAGAGAGAGAGAGAGAGAGAGAGAGAGAGAGAGAGAG